TCATTTTCGACCGCTCTAGCGCGAAGCCGATTTTCACCCAAAAATAAGAATCGCCCGGCTTCCAAATCGAAAACCAGATAAACTGAAAGGTTGACGCTTCTTCTCATTGCATTCAATCGAAGATTCATCCAAAATCCAAGCGCTAACCGCCAAAACATTTTCGAGAAATGTAGCATTCGAAGCAATCAGTATCAGCGGCCCCGATTTCGTGTGCCAAGGAGCAACCGTTACACTGTTTGCCCCACGCTGATTGGACGATGCTAAACAATGCCCGATTACAAATGCCCCATGTGGGAGGGGAGTCAGGGGCATATTCGCGCCAGCGATTCATCTACTGACTAGCCTGGTGTGAGCCGTCGTGTCAGGTTTCCGTCACGCGACACAAACCTCACACCAGGCGTATGCGATGGAAAGCTTACCATTTCCTCAACCAAAAGGAAACAGCAGACAGGGAAACTTACGGATTCAAATCAAGAAACTCCACACCACAAGTCAAAGATCTTATCCACTTCGAAGAGGCCATGACCAAGCTCATTCAGAATATTAAGTTCAAGGAATCAAAGTGCAATTTTCAAAGCCAATTAAACAGTGATATCAAGAACAAAATCAAGAAACCAAATACACTTCTAATTTCAGCCGATAAAACTACAAACTTCTATGAAATGAATCCCGATTCTTACGGCAAATTAATCAAGGACAATGTGACCAAAACATACAGGAAAGCAAGTGATAATCTAGTTGGCAAGTTAGACGCACAATCTGCCAGAATTGCCGAACGTCTTAAGCTAGGTGACCGCGTTGAATTGGCGAAGAAAGAAGCGTTTATCACTCTCAAAGATCATAAACTGACGTTCCATGACCACCCAACATGCCTTCTGATCAACCCATTGAAATCGGAAATTGGTGTAATCAGCAAGTAGATCCTAGACGAAATCAATACCTCCATCATCAACAGTACGAAAATAAACCAGAGGAAGAACACATCCGGCTCTTAAAATGGTTCAAAAGTTTGGAAAACAAGGAGGAACTCTCATTCATATGTTTCGACGTATGCGAGTTCTACCCCTCGATAACGGAAAACATACTGTCAAAGGCATTGGATTTCGCTTCAACGTACCGACAGATCACCAACCAAGAGCGTGAAATAATCCTTCATGCAAAGCGATCAGTACCATTCAGCGATGATTGTCCATGGGAGAAGAAATCTGCAAACAACCAATTTGACGTCACAATGGGATCCTTTGATGGGGCAGAAACGTGCGAGCTAGTCGGATGCTACCTTTTGTCCATCCTCACGAAAAAATACGGCAAAAACATAGGCTTATACCGCGATGACGGTTTAGCAGCCCTAAATGGGAATCCCCAAGAAATTGAGAAGATCAGAGAAGGAGCTGTGCAAAATCTTCCGTATGAACGACTTAAAGATCACAGTCGAGGCCAACACGACTATTGTTAACTTTCTAGATGTCACGCTTGACCTCCGAAGCGGTAAACACTATCTATTTAGGAAAGAAGGGAACATCCCACTCTATGTGCACAAAAACTCCAACCATCCACCGTCAATCCTGAGAAACATCCCGGAATCCATAAACAAGAGGCTGTCAGAAAATTCGTCCGACAAAGAATGCTTCGACGATGCCAAGCACGTGTACCAAGAAGCCCTTAATAAAAGCGGCTACCATTACAAACTAACGTATAACGTGTCGATCAGCCGGACATCAAGCCCGCGGAGGAACAGACGAAGGAACATACTATGGTACAACCCGCCGTATTCTTGCTTTTCACGTGACGTCACAGATTATGCAAATTAGTTGATCCGCCATGTTGGTGTCCCTCGAAGCGTGTTATCACTTGTAAATTAGAGGGAAATATTATGCTATTTCTAGATTCCTTAATTTGCTGATAATCTTGCGACCTCTCAATGGATTCTGAACTCAAAGACGACTCGGAAAAACTCAGTAAAGCTATCCCAGTGCTTTCCGATTACGTGAAAGGGCTGAAAACTCGAGTTAAAGAGCGATATTTAGCAAAAATATCTGTTGTCGGAGTCGACCCGGCCAGCATCCCGAAAGAGCAGTTTAACGGGGAATGTCTACCTCCCATAGAAGTTTCTGATTTGCTTGGATATTGCTTGAGTATTTTAGTAGTAACATGGACAAACCAAGAGCAATACTTGTTTATTTATAGGATGCAAGAATTCAAAGGAACAAATTTAGTCATAGATCTAAGGGCCGGATGACCATATCTTTTGTGGTAAATAGTCCCAATAGAATTTGAGATTCTTCATATCACAGGGAAAAAAGGTGTTTGCTTCAGTGGTATATTATTGGTAAATATTGGGAATTAATTAAATTTTACCAGGATAGTCTAATGAAATTACTGCCCTATTTATTGGAAAGATGGAATCAATACCAAATTTGAACAATGGGATATTGTCTGGTGGTGGTCCAACTGACATTGAGATAATTAAATACCAATATTTACCAGTGACATACCACTTGGGAAATTAGTTCTTTTTCTGTTTGCATGAGTTGTTTGATAGTATGCAAGTTTTT